AGTGCTATTATATCCAAACTTAAACGTTGTGGGCGATTCTTCAGGTAATGTTACATGATAATATGCAAAACTTGCAAACGTCTGGTGAGTCTTAAGTGCTTTGATGTTGACACCTCAGGCCAACTAAATTCGGCGGAAAAACATTCAACCACAGCTTTATCATGTTCTGTGTGAAAGTAGTCGGTTAGTTTGTAAGTTGACAGGCAGTTAACTGTTGGTTGAAACGTTTGATGCTGTGATTGGACGGAATTGCCGTTTACTTAGCTTAGATATTTTTTCTACGGGATCTCTAAACTCAAACCAGCTGCGTGGTTGCGGTGTCTTGTTCCCAGAAGCAACGCTCTTAGGATTATTTTTTAGCTTAGTTCAGAGTCTGGTATACGGCCAAAGTTTTATTTATCGAAAGCATGCAGTGATTAAGATCAGAATGGTCTTAGCATTCTTCCAATAACAGTTTTGCGTGTAGCCTTCATGATCTGCTTTAAAATCAGCTCCTCATCTAGCATAAATTACTGGTTATTGGGACAGTATGGTTGTTAGATGGTGTAGAAGGCGTCACAGAGCAGATCCAAGGTCTCATCATATAATTCAATATGTACGAACAATTCACTGGAGGCATGAACACTTTCGCAACAAAGCATGATCATGTCAGAATTTTGGTTGAACGCTATCTTGTCGGATATCCACTGCCTGGCGCTTCGAATCATGGTTCATAAAGCTCACTAAACTTTGGTCTGTTTTGCTTCCATTATGCTGTCACGCAGCAATTCTACATTTCTTGTCTGGATTCGCCCATAACGTTGAATTTTGAACGTATCAGCGTTACGTAATTTGATTTTGTAAATATAGAAACCTCTTTATCGCATTTGTTTAGACCACTGTTTCCAAAATTTTTGCTCTCAAATTTAAATGCATGTTTTTTCTGACCTGCCGACCCAGTGGGCCACTAAATAGGTTTTAATTGTAATTTTTGACATGCATTTAGTGCTTATTAGACCAGTTTATTGAACCAATTTAGATCACTAAAGCAGAATGAACGTAAGTAATTTTGTAATC